TCATTATTTAGCATAGCAGATTTAGCATAGCATATTAGCATTTTTAAAACATGTGGGGAGAGTAGTTCATCAAGCTGTTTCAAGGCTGCTAACTCTCTCATGCATTTGTCTGTAGTCACTCACACACACCTGTCACGGCCGACGGAGGGACAAGCAAGCAGGCACGTGCGCGCGCGCACACACACACACACACACACACACACACTCATCCGTCACGGCCATAGACTGTACATACACACACAAGGAATGCTGCTTGCTTATTTATTTCTATAAAAATGTTTTAAATAATGATACAGCTCATTAAAACATCATTAAAAGAATATATTTTATTAAGATCTCTATCTATATATATACATACATATAATTATAAATAATTTTATAAGTAGTCTTATTTTATATTGGGTGTCTTAATGGCTGAAAATTGATAAAAAGCAGTTACATTTTAATTTAAAGATTTGAGATTCTAGTCAAAAATAAAGAACATTCCTCCAAATGTTCTTTAATGTGATCATTATAATTCTAATGCTTAGAACTTTGTTTTTATTGTCTGCAATGTGTAGCCTATATCTTTATTAAATATGTGTTTAGCTGTAAAGTGGTAATTCTCTCTAATGTGTACAGAGAGGTGGACATCAGTGCTGCAGTGAAATTCCCAAGATCAGTCTGCTTTGCTAACAAATATAGTTAAATCTTACCTGCATTCTAAATAAATACCGTTAGGTGAAAACATGAGTAGGCATTGAGTTATTGATACAATCCCTAACAGCCAGAATGGAAGAAGAGCATGCTGGGTCATCCTGGACCTGAGCCTGTTCTGTGTATTTACCTACAGGATGCAATAAATGTCTACAAGGCTGAGTTTGGACCATTACATCTAAAAGAAAACATACAATCAGTGATTTTTTTTTAATTGTTTACATTAATATACAAATTTTCTAAGTATTAACCTCACAGCAAATAAGTAGAACAATATAATAAACAGGCTTTAGTAGTTAAACAGGCGTTGTGCACACAGGTGCTTTGTGTCTCGGTGCTGGTGGTGTCTAGGTCTCAGAGTTCCTGTCCTCCTGCCGTCTTCTGTTGTCCTCAGGATACGGATTGATGTTTCCTGATGATGAGGGAGGGGCAGTATGTGGGCTTCAAACTGGTCCTGGATAACAGTGGGAGACCTCCGTTGTCTGAATACTGAGACCAGAGAGTTGGTGAGATGCAGATCTTCTCTACCTCATCTAGAAACGGAGTTGGTTCAGGGAAAACTTTTCCAAAGACCAGTTCCATGATGCCATCGCCATATTCTGCAATGATAGACAATAACTTTAATGACATATTTTGTCTACAAGCAGCTTTAGGAAAGTTGTTTCTTTAGCTTTCATGTTTATAGTCACGTTTGTGTTTGTTCACAAGTTCACTTTGCTGCAGTGACTTCATATTTTCTTACAAATGTAATAAAATAGTGACACTAAAATTATACAAATGATTCCTTATGAAAGGAAGCTCATTAGAGAGCAGTGCAGACAGACTTACTACATGCTGCAGCTGTTTTTGTAGGCCAGCTGCTGCTGAATTTGGGGAAAGTTATTCTGCACACATCCAGATCAGATGGTCGATTACAGAAAATATTGTAATTCAATAATTTCTAAACAGACTAAACAAGTAAAACATCAAATAAATCACTCTGCTGTCATCAGACGGAGTGATTCAGGGGGCGAGGTGTTCTTAATGATGAGGGTGGCTGAGGTGTGTCATCACTCACTTTGGTCTGGTCCAGCTACCGTCTCTTTACTGGTGGGTCTCCTTCCTCAGTAGGTGACGTGAAGCTCCAACATCTGAACGTTCTGTGTTCCTTAGAGGAGAAGAAAAGTAACATTAGCAAGCTGGCTAAATTATTTTTTACTAGCATCTCAAGGCCTTGGAGAAGCAGATCTTCACTTACCTAAACATCAGACCAGTTTGTCCCAGCTGAGCTCATCAGGGCGTTAGTCTGACAGCCTGTCAGTGAAACACGGCTCCAGCCTTCTGGATGTGGACTAAAAAGCAAAGGAACATTTCTACTTTTGTTTTAATTATTTTACCGCCGATTTTATCAGCTTTCCGACGCTCACGCTCATACAGACGGTGAGCTTTGCTGCGTCTGACTGATGCAGAGTTAGTTTTTATATCTGCAGTGAGACAAAAAACTAACCTCACTTCACTCAGAGATTGTTCTTTAAAACTCTATTAAATCCACTGTGTTGACGCACTTTAATGACATAGTCACGCTGCATTTTAGCTGATATGGGACTTTATTTACTGGATGCTAAGATTACATCACATTCACGTAGAATAACACACAGGCTCTCTGCTGTTACAATCAGTGGGAGGTTATCATCTGGTGTAAAAGAAGGCGTTGATCAGAAATCACGTTTTATTCCACGAAAATCAGCCAAATCCACATTAATCTGGGTGCTAACTTTACTAGCATACTGTGCTAGCGATAGCAAGCCGGATGCTAACGCTTTAGTGCTGCTAATGCCCGTAAATCTAAAGTAAAGTTTGTCGACATTTTAGAGTGATATGAAGCTTACCGCTCTGCTGCTGTGTCCCGTCGCTGCCACATTCAGATGGCAATGACTCCTTTTAGATAGATGAAGCCCTCAGTACTTACTAGCCTGGAGACACGAACGAACGAACGAACCACGCGCGCGCGCACACACACACACACACACACACACACACACACACACACACACACACACACACACACACACACACACACACACACACACACACACTACTTTTTCTTCTGTGTTTTTTTTAGCAGTAGTGTCATCAGCTCCTGGGTTTAAATACTGCCACACCACCCTTCCTTAAACGAGGAACAGTTTTGAGCTGTGTGTGGCTAAAATAACCAGACATTCTGCATTTTTCCAATAGGACTACAAAAAATCTTAGCGAGAAGAAAAAATGGCGGATTGGCTCTGTGTTTAGCCGAGGGCCATTACCATATTTGGTAGTTATCCTGACGAAATAAGTTACTGATGTAATAGATAATTTGAAAAACTGAACGGGTGGACAAATATGCCCAAAACTTAATTATTAAATATCTAAATAGCAACTCCAGTGAATAATATAAGCCTTTCTGCTCACTTAGACACTTAAAATGTGAAACACACTGTGTTAATGGATAAAAAAAGTGGGTTTTTCATGTTATGTCTCCTTTAACTCTAAACACCTTTAAAGATTCCTGAGGCTTTTAAAACATCCCAGCCTGGTTCATTACTCAAAACCGCAATCATGGGTAAGACTGCCGACCTGACTGCTGTCCAGAAGGCCATCATTAACACCCTCAAGCAAGAGGGTAAGACACAGAAAGAAATTTCTGAACAAATAGGCTGTTCCCAGAGTGCTGTATCAAGGCATCTCAGTGGGAAGTCTGTGGGAAGGAAAAAGTGTGGCAGAAAATGCTACACAAAGAGAAGAGGTGACCGGACCCTGAGGAAGATTGTGGAGAAGGACCGATTCCAGACCTTGAGGGACCTGCGGAAGCAGTGGACTGAGTCTGGAGTAGAAACATCCAGAGCCACCGTGTACAGGCGTGTGCAGGAAATGGGCTACAGGTGCCACATTCTCCAGGTCAAGCCACTTTTGAACCAGAAACAGCGGCAGAAGCGCCTGACCTGGGCTACAGAGAAGCAGCACTGGACTGTTGCTCAGTGGTCCAAAGTACTTTGTTGTAGTTTTTGACAAAAAATAAACAGAGTTGCTGCTCAAAACATTAAAATAATTATTTCATTTTCTGTTCCTCACTTCAATGATTGCCTTCAATGGTGTCTGTTTGTTGCATCCACCAGGTACAAAAACGAACTTGTTTTTATTTGACTGTTTTTCTGTCCTGTCTCTTTCTATTATCTTCCTGCATCTCCTCTCAATCCTAAAGAAAAACTGCAACCTGGCTTCATATATATTCACCTTATGAGTTACCTTTGAACTGCAGTTCTAAAAGATCTACCGACTGCAAAAACAGCAGAGCGCGCGCCGGCCGCACCGGTGAGGTGCGTCACCGGAGGACAAAACAGGTGATGCGCTCCACTCCACGTATCAGGCACAAATAAAAGACAGAAAACATAAAAGGAAATGAGCTGATATGAACGGTCGCGTGTTAAATTTGTTTTTGAGGTGGCGACACCTAATTTGATAATGTTACTGTGGCCGTGCTCAGGACACAGATGTCTGGAGCGCGTCAACGATCAGAGCTTTGCATGCGCAAGCTGGTTAAGGTTAGGTTGGGGGTAAGGGGAAGGTTAAATTGCAAGAGGGTAAAGTTCACAATTCGGTCAATTGTCCATTTTACCGCGGGCATCAGATATCGACGCTTTGGCACAGCGCGTCGCCTCCCAACGCGCAGGGGCTCGTCACCTGCTGTCTTTTTCAAGGACTGCATCTTGTTGGTCATTATCACGTGACAGCGACTAGTCGATGAAAGGCATAAACATTCACTACAGAGCAGTGTAGTCGACTAGTTGATATAACCCCTAGTGTAAATTACTTTACATTTCCTGAGTTGAAAAAGTGCTGATAAAAAGAAGAAAATTATTTTCTTGTCCCTCATTGGGGAAATGTTGGTGTAAGTGCAGAAAACCTGATATCCGATGACAAAAATGCTACATTATTATTTTCATAGTCAGTAAAGAGAATGCAATATGACCATGGCATAAAAATGGCAGCCAGTCACATAACTCTACTAATTGTGTGTTTTACTGGAAGTGACAGAATAACTGATAAGATGTTGATGCTTGATATGTCAGAAACTCAGTTTTAAATGTTATTGTCTTTCTTTTACAAGTATACAAAACTCATCAAAAGAATTTATGGTCACTGAACCAAACCAGTTATGTTCATAAAACACATTTTGGAACCTTTAGCTACCTGACATTTGATCATTTTCCCAAAGACACTTTTTACAAAGCAGTTTTAGACTGTGAATAAATGCAAAATTATTCATTTATATTGGCTCATTGCAGATGTAATCAGTGTGGACGATCATCAGCACTCCCATCCCGATTCTACGAGCTGGAGCTGAACATTCAGGGCCACAAGAATCTCTCTAAGTGCATCACTGAGTTCCTAAAGGTAACTTTGGTACTCGTCTTGTCTTTCCCCCCCAAACTTAAACATAATAAGAGCTTAACACTAGTGGGTTTTAACCAGAAGCACCAAATAATCAGTGCTGCACTATGATATATTCTGCTGAGTCAGGTTATCCATGGTAACAAACCACCTCTCAGGATGGGAAAAGATAAATGACCCGCACTAGTATAGTGCCTTATAGAGGACCCCAAAGTGCATTACACTGCAGTGTATCATTCATCCATTCACACACACATTCATACCCTGGTGGTGATGAGCTACAATGTAGCCACAGCTGCCCTGGGCGCACTGACAATGGCGAGGCTTCCGGCCACCACCAGAAGGTGAAGCGGGCTAAGTGTTTTGCCCAAGGACACAACAGCAGTGATCTCAAACCAAAACATGTGGGAGCATCACGTTTATACTTGTCCATTACTCCTCACACCACATGTTTATACCTGAGGCCCTCTGCTGACCAAAAAAAAAAAAAAAAAAAAAAATATATATATATATATATATATATATATGTGTGTGTGTGTGTGTGTGTGTATGTATGTATGTATGTATATATGTATATCAATATACAAGACGAGAGGATTTGGTGATAATGGGACTAGAAACCCGACACAGAAGCTATGCAAAAGCAGTAGCAAATCATGACACAGCAGAAGAGGCTTCAGACAAAGAACTTGAGACACTAGAACAGCAAGTTGTTACTTTTCTGCACAGTAAGAACATAACTATTCAAAGAGATGTTATATCAATATGTCATGCACTGCCTAAAAAAATTTGAGAAAGCTAAACCGACTTATTGTAAGGTTTACCAGTAGAAAACAAAGAAACAGAGTTCTGTTACAAGCAAACAAGCTAAGAGGCACCAATGTGAATATAAATGAACATTTAACCAAAAAAAAAAAAAAAAAGAGGGGACAATAGCTAGAGAGGCACGGATGCTAAAAAAAGCAGACAAAAATCGTAGCTACATGGACAAGGAACGGGAGTGTATGGATCAGAGAACAAGAAGGGTCACAGGCTAAGATAAAGGAGCTGGGAGAACTGGAAAAAAATAATAAACAGTGAAAGTTGGAAGAGGGATGTGGAATAAAGTAAAATCTCTTATAGCATCACATAAATGAAATGCAAGTATACCACAACACAAGCATATGGACATAACAACAAATACATATGAGGAACTAGAATACAAGATATATGGCCCTGGAAAGGAACTAGAAAATAATGTGTACATACATATGAATGATAAATGTGAATATTGTTGTGAACAAGAACTAAGTGATTCAGTTTTGATAGAAGGTACCCTCTCAATCATTCACTTCAATAGAAGTTTGTATTGCAATTACTTTAAAATATTGTATTATTTAACCCAAAATAAAAAAAAACCTTTCAAATCATTGCTATAACAGAAACATGGTTAAAAGAAGGAGATGAGGAGGAGGTACAAATAGGAGTATGAAATGTACTTTATGAATCGGAATAATAAAAGAGGTGGTGGTGTTGCACTGTATGTATGTCACAATTTAAAAAGTAAAGTCATTCATAACATGTCAACAGCCATCCAAGATGTACTGGAAATGATCACTATTGAAATAATCTCTGAAAAGACAAAAAACATAATAATAAGTTGTATCTATAGAGCACCTGGATCTTGTGTAGAAACATGTACAAATACAATTACTGAAATGTTGAGTGGAATCTGTAACAAGGATGTCTTTCTCTGTGGGGACTTTAATGTTGATCTGGAAAATGTAAACAATTCAAAGACAGCAAACAACTTCATAAATTCAATGTATCTACTGGGTCTGTTTCCACTGATAACCAAACCAACAAGAATTGATGCGCATAGCTCAACAATTATAGATAATATATTTACTAATGCTTCAGAGGGGATAGAGAGAAGTGGAATAGTGATGACTGATATCAGTGATCATCTGCCAATTTTCACAGTCTATAAAAATCACCAGATCAAAAATCAACAAAAAATGGAAAAACTTATAAGGGACAGGTCACAAAACGCTATAGATGCACTAAAAAGAGATATGGAACAACAAAACTGGGAAAAAGTATATGTTGATGATGTAAACATGGCTTACAATTCTTTTATAGGAATATTATGTAGTCAATATGACAAAAACTGTAAAACAAAAACTCAAACAAAAAGAGGGAGGATGAACAAACCATGGATGACAAAAGGGCTGCTGAACGCCTGTAAGAAAAAATTACATTATATAGATGTTTTTTAAAACTAAGAACAAGTGAAGCAGAAAGGAAATACAAAAAATATAAGAATAAATTAGTTTCTATAATAAAAAAAGGGATTATTATAGCAATTTATCAGAAAAAACAAAAATAATATTACAGCAACTTGTTGAATAATGTCATAAAAATAAATAAAATAGCTTCAACTGTTCCAAATTATTTTGAAAACGGACAGTCTGAAATTAGTCAAACCAGTAAAATAGTAAATTAATTTAACATTTTTTGTACTAATGTGGGACCTGACTTGGCAAAAACATTCCAAAAAGAACGTATTAAAGGTGAGAATATCAAAAGCAATAAAAACAGTATATATTTAAGTCCAGTAACTAGTGATGAAATAAGAAATATTATCAATAAATGCATCAATAAAAGAAGTACTGACTGTGATGGTTTAGACATAACATTGATAAAAAATATAATAGAAAGTATTATTCATCCATTGACTTACACATGTAATTTATCTTTTGCAGCAGGGACATTTCCTAACAGGATGAAAATTGCAAAAGTCATACCACTTCTTAAAAGTGGAGACAAACATATCTTTTACAACTACAGACCAATATCTTTATTGTCACAATTCTCAAAAATACTAGAAAAAGTATATATTGCTAGGTTGGACCGATTCCTGATCAAAGAAGATATATTAAATGGCAGTCAGTATGGTTTTAGAACAAATCATTCAACATCCATGGCATTCATGGAATTAACAGAAGAAATATCGGAAGCCATTGACAAAAATACTCATCTCATAAGTATCTTTATTGATTTAAAAAAAGTATTCAATACAGTGGATCATAAAATTCTTATTAAAAAACTTAGTAAAGATGGCATCACAGGGATGGCCCTAAAATGGACAATAAGTTATCTAACTGATAGGCATCAGTATGTTCAAATAAACAACACAAAATCACATGTAAATAACATTACTTGTGGTGTACCACATGGGTCGGTATTGGGCCCTAAACTATTCATCATTTATATAAATGACATTGTTGAGGTAAAATGCACCTTATTTGCAGATGAGACAACTTTTTATTATTCCGGAGATAATGTTGAGCAGATGATAGAAGTGATACAAACAGAGATGAAAAAAAATTAAACTATGGTTTGATGGGAACAAACTATCATTAAACAGTGATAAATCATGTTGTATGATATTAAAGGGGCATTATGGAAGTGTGACAGCCAAAACATGTATAGAAATAATAAATGTCTTCTTCATACATTCTCCTGCAATGCCCTGGTCCTGTAGAATGAGTCCTGGCATTTTTACTGTGATTGCCTGTTTTTCTGTAAAATCACAGAAAAAGAGAGATGCTCGGGTCGAGCAGGCTGCTTCATGCGCGTTCACGCTCAGGCATCGCCCGTAGCATTTGCTATACGTAGCTTTAGCAGCAGAGAGAGGCAGTGCCACTTTGTCGCTGTTCCTAACGCCTAGTGACAATGCTAGCTACATTTCTGAGGACCCTTAGCTACTTTCTGTAGAACTTTCTCCTAGATATTTCCTGCAGATTAGAAACTAAATAGCCATTTTCGCTCCAAACTGTTCTTTGAACGTTGTTTCAGCTGTCGTCAAGGATATAGAAGTTACAGATACAAAGGACGTCATTGGTGCTTTAGCTCACCTAGTAAGACGTTGGACTCCCGTGCAGAAGTCCTGGGTTCGATTCTGGATGTGAACATAGTTTTTTTTTTTTACATTAATGGTATATATTTTTTACAGTAAGATGACAATATTTTTATTTGAGACTCGCCGAACGGCATTGAATTCACAGATAAAAAAGATGTGGGTTCAACTTTCATTTTGGAACAATTTTTTAAGCAGGGGAAGGGAATGATCTGAGCATGCAGGACGACTGACCCATCTTAAACCTTTGTCGGCCGTGCTGAAGAGAAAGGTACAGAACCAAATTATTTAATTAATTAGCTGCGCGTTCTCCTGTCCTCTGTCCTCTGGGCCACACACACACACACACACACAAGGGACTGTCTCAGCTGTTATTTTCGTTAAGGAGTGTGCACGTACAGCATGCGCGCCTCGTGCACGAGCCTACTATTGAAGCTGCCGTTCTGCTTTTGGCCTGAGGGGGCAATCGCGAGCATAAAAATTCAAAACTCCGTAAAGTCCCTTTAAGTAATACATATTCAAATGATGAAATCTTATTAAATATAGATGAGATTAATATTAAGAGTTAAAGAAGTCAAGTATCTGGGAGTCATCACTGATGAAAAAATGTCTTTGAAACTGCATATAAACAGTGTCAAAACTAAAATATCTAAAACGATTGCTCTGTTACATAGAGCAAAAGGGTTGCTTGATAATAATTCCCTATATTTGTTATATAACTCACTGATCATACCATACCTGAACTACTGCATTGAAATCTGGGGAACAACATATAAAACTTACACAAATTCCATTTACATCTTACAGAAAAAAGCAATAAGAATAATCACAAGGAGCAACCACAGAGATCCATCCAATCCATTATTTATAAAATCAAAAACACTAAAATTCTATGATCTGGTGGACTACAATATTTTAAAATGTATGTACATTGCAAACAAAGGGTACGCACCTGCAGGTTTAATCAAAAGATTTACAAAAAGACAGCAAATATGATTTAAAAGGACATGAATTATTTAATATACCTAGACATAGGATACTCATAAAGGAATATTGTGTTTCCATATATGGAGTTAAAATGTGGAATAAGTTAAATACTGAA